CAGATCGACAATGTTAGTAAGATGAGGAAATTCAGATGATGATGAAGAAACCATGACAGATGAGTGATAATAGCATGGCTGTAACATTCGAGCAATGATGGTTGGTTGGAGGTGATAACTAGTAGAGATTGTCCGTTTTGAATGTTGGATAGAGCTCTTTAAATTTCTAAGCTCTATCCCATCTCAATTCTAGGTGTCCCTCACGTGGAAAATGAGACTATTTATAGTTTTTAAACACTGAATTAAACAATCTATATTGAATCATTTGGCTATAAAATATTTATTCAACATTTAAATGACTTTAAGAACTCATAATCAAATAATCTTGAGCACATTGGACTCAACTCGTTAATAAACTCGATTTGCAAGATTTGGAGACTTCTTTATAATTTAATTAATGTCTCGAAAGTTTTAAATATGCTTTAAGTGCTTGAGTTGAATTCATTTGGACTCAGATTTGATCACATTTGATGGTAGGATCATATGGTCGAGACTTTTAGTTTGACTATAAGTTTGCTCATGTTAGAGTTTGGATCATCCTAAATTTGATTTTGAATATTTTAATATAAAGTAATACGCCAAAATTCATGTAGATGGAGTGAAATTATTTGAGACATCAGACCACTACTACACATTAGTGGTGTGAGACTTGTCTGTCACACAGCCCATGAGGACTAATGAATGCTAAATCAAGCTTAATACATCAAATTAAGAGAGAAGCATAGTTACTGTGATGCCACATAATTTAACTTGAAAAATTATTATTTTATCTTTTAACACGAAAATCATAGCTATCCAATATCACATATCAATATAAATCATGAAATTATAATCTAAAACATCAATGTCCATATGTATTCATTACTAAAAAAATTATATACACTACTCAGGATCTACACATTATAAGCAACTACTCTTTTATGAGTATAAAAGAATAGCTAAATAACAAGAACTTGAACATGAAGGATCATGATCAATCTCACTCCTGCTTCCTTAACCTGACCTGAATTTGTTTAACTACGTATAATGAGCTAAAAACCATAATAGGAAACCAAATCTTATAACTGAACTCAAAGCATCACAAATGAGTAATATACATGTCAACAGTCAAATCATAATATTACTATTTATATGATTACTGAATCAGTGCATAAATAGTAAAATTGTACGTTACGAAAGATAGTAAATCAGTATGAGTATCAAATTACTAAGGCAATCATCATTCAATACTAAAATCCAAGGTTGTGAAAATCGGACCGGACAACGAACCGGTAGAGAAAGCGGTTCACGGTTTGACCAGTTCAACCGGTCGAACCGGGGTTGAACCGGATGACGTAATAAATACAATTTAGATGATATAAAAATCATATAAGATTAGCTTACATATTACTAATATCTTATATAATTTTAAATTTAAGCATATTCAATCTTTAAATTTAATTTAAATTTAACAAAAAATTAACTTACAAATGAATTAATAAGTTTAATATAAATAATCCTTAATTTATGTTATATATTTATATATAATTTATATTTAAAATTTATATATTAGATTCATATTATTATTTTACATTTATAAATTATTGAGGTTAAATTAAATCATTTATTATAAATAATAAATAAATTAATTAATATTTATGGTATATAAAAAAATAAATGATGAATATAATTTATTTAATATATGCTTTTTGTTTCAATAAATTAGTAACAATGTTGATGATAAATCTATATAGTAATAGAACAATGCGGAAGTCCGACGGTTGTAGAGAGAGTAAACTTTTCGTCTTAGCGATGCACGGATATCCAACACAAACAGAAAGAGAAGTAAAATACCCGATATTTTTTACGTGGTAAGCCCGAAGAGAGAAAAACAACGGGGCCTTGCCTAGGTGAAAAGATTCTACTAAACTTGAGTGAATTATAAAGGTTAACCCATCTCTCGACTTAGAGGCGGTCAAATTATAGTAGTTTGGAGGGTTAGACAAAGGTCTAACAACTGTCAGGCGGAAGTTCGACAATGTCAGTGCAGAAGTTCAGTTGATGGGCTGAAGTCCGACATTGGTCAGCGGCAAGGCGATGGTCCGACGATTATTGGGCTGATGTCCGGCTGTGGTCGACAGCCGGATGGAAGTCCGGTGGTGGTCGGGGCCGGCGGTGGTCCGATGAAGGTCGGGCTGAAGTCCGACGACAGTCAAAAGTTAATATCCATATATACTAAAAATTAAAAAAAATAAATTTTTTGAATCAAAAGTTAAATTTTTTATCTTTTTTGAAAAAAAATATATACATTAAAAAAAAATTCTTACTTTTTCTTACAAAGCTGCCTCCTTTGAGGTGGCAAAAAAAAAAAAAATCAATTTTTGGTTAAGAAAGTTCAATTCAAATGTCTTTGAGGTCCCCACAACAATTTTTCAATGTTATGGACTCAATTTAACACTTTCAAAGCCCAATAGAGCCTCCACAATTAATTTGAGGCAAATGTAGGAGTAAAACTTTTCTAATATTTTTTTGCTCTGATTGATGTGATCAAGAGCATTTTACTTAGTTTCATGATCCTGAGGGGAGATCCATGTTGACGTTAGGGAGCGTTCAAGCATCATAATTTTTCTAAAATTGTAATTTCAAATTGATAAGTTTTTAAAAATCTTAAACATATATTTTCAGACTAGACGAGCTTTGACATTAAAAAATAGGAGGGAAACAAATATGTCATGAAAAATCGCCTTGATTGCGAATGAATCTTGATGCATATCTAAATTAGAAACTTTCAAAATTAATTTTCGGATTAGATAAAATCTTATTTATGTAAATTTATACTCAAATTGAATGTCCCAATAAGATGAATCCAAGAACCCCAAAATCGGTGTAATCCCAGCCCAAATGGGCTCAAATCAAGGGACTGAAACATATTTGGAAGATTCAAAATATAAATCTAAAAATCAAATGATCTTCAAATATGACATGCATATAGTTGAATCAAGTGGATTGATGAGGCGAATCCAACCAGCTTATGATAGCTTACTTTTGACATCATTAAGGCACTTAAATGCTGAGTGAATGCTTTATGATCAAGCGAATATATATGGGTCGTCTGATGGAGCCTTCCAAATTTTTTCCTTGATCTTCTCTATATTATATGATGCATGATACTCTTAAAATCAATAAATAGACCCTATTCCCTACACGAAAGGAACTTTTGGAGTCATGGACCCTGGGCTAGAAACTCAAGAGAACTCTAAAGCTTGAAGAGTCCCTAAGCTCCACCCAGGCACCACTGTTGATAAATCCTTACTGTTTGGTCAACACTACTAGACTTTTTGACCGACCATGCCATTAAACCTTAATCTGGCCACCATTTAGTCTCTAGCTGACCTATGTCGCCTACTAACTACGATTCCTCCATCCTTTGTCACCTAAAAATAATCCCTTCGACCTATGTTGTCCAACAATGGTTCATTCACTTTTATTCGCTCGACTATGATTCCTCATACCTTTATCGCATGACAACTATAGTTTCTCTGACTTCAATCTATTACCCATCAACTATGATTTCTTTGATCTCTATCACCCGACTACGATCCTTTCAACATATGTTACATGTTGAATATGATCCCTCTAACCTCCATCGCTAGTCGACTACAGTCCCTCCAACCTTTGTTACTTACCGACTACAGTCTATCCAACCTCTATGACCTACCAACTACTGTCCATCTGGCATCTATCACCTGACAATGATCTCATCGACCTCAATAGCCCAATTATAATCCCTCTAACCTCCGTCGCCTAACTATGATTCCATTGACCATACTCACTTGCCAATTATAGACCCTCTGACGTTCGTCACCCACCGACTAAGGTTCCTCCCACCTCTCCCACCCGACAAGGGTCCCATCAACCTCAGTCGCCCGACTATAGTCCCTATGACCATCGCCACCCGCCAACTATGATCCCTTTGACCTCTGTAGCACAACTAAAATCCTACCGACAAAAAGACACACTAACATTCTCTTGAGAACAAGTCTTATGACATTGGATTCATCCAAATCCAACCCTGTAATATGCTCTACGTGATTTATATGTGTACGTTGTGTCAACGCCTTCTCTCAAGGAAGGGCATCCTTTGTGGCCAATAACAAACTCTAGTGGAATCATTTTAACTTGGCATGACCCCATAATTTTTCCTCTTTTAGGGTTTCCACGTAAAAATTCTAGTGTCTATTATGAAACTTGCACCCAATATTCTTATATGCGTACGTGATTGATATTCATACAAAACCAGAATGCGAAACTCTATATATCTTTACTGTTGCGAATGTTCTGGAATGCAACAATAATCAAACTTTCATCAATATAAATTAAATATTTTAACATTTCTATTAAGATAAATGCATTATAAGTTAATAACATTGGTTTTGCAGCAATTATTATAAAAAATTAACTATGAAATATAATTAGAAATTAGTGAATCAATGATACACTAATCACTTAGATTGAAAAATAAATTTTTGATTGGATTAATAGTGAATCAATCATTGAATTTTTTTAGAATATGAATAATAGACATTATAAATTATAACTTTTTTATCATATCATATTTAATTTTTTTAAATAACAAATTAAAATAAAAAGAGTTAAAACTATTGATCTAAGCCCATATGAAAATATTTAAAATCTAATTTATGTCCCTACTTTTTTTTTTTTTGCTCCACCACTACTTAAGACCTCTTAAATTTATATTAAAATTGATGTAGCTCATAAAATAATATATAAATATAAAGACTCCTTAGTCCACCCTCACATAAATCATGTGAGTAATATCTTTACATAAAATTTTCCCATTATCAATTTATGTGAATAATAATATATTCTTTAAATAAAATAATTTCAGTCTATAATTCTATGTACTTTGTTAAAGTCAACTAAAATCGCACAAATGTTTCAACTTTCCAAAGTATTTTTTTCCTCTCATTTATTGGTAAATGAAAGATGGGCAGAAACAAACGGCGTCCGGTTAGATTCGCTCGAAGTTTCATAAAAAAATTTCTGTCGCCGCCTTCCCATTTATTAATTTTCTTGTCAGTCAATGTTTGATCTTTCTCCCGAAGATTGTCTTCTTCCTCCCTCGATAGCTCCATCCTCTTCTTGCTCCTATTCCAGTCGTTTTTTTCCAACCTAAAAACCCTATACATACCCTTCAATCCCGGAGAACTGCACCGATCGGAGTCGAATCGAAGATGGGAAAAGGATTGCTTGATCTAGAGAAGCATTTCTCCTTCTACGGGGCGTATCACAGCAACCCTGTGAACGTTCTCATCCACACCTTATTCGTTTGGCCCATCTTCTTTACCTCCCTCATCCTCTTCTACTTTACCCCTCCTTTCCTCCATATCCCCGTCTTCGGCGGCTTCGACCTTAATTTTGCCTTCATCTCCGTTGTCTTCTACTCACTCTTCTACATCGCACTGGATAAGAAGGCCGGATCGCTCGCCGCTCTCCTCTGCTTCCTCTGCTGGTTCGGAAGCCAAGCCCTCGCTGCAGCTCTCAGCTTCTCCCTGGCCTGGAAGGTGGAATCCCTCCGCCTCTTTTCTTTTTTGTTGTTTTCTTGCTTGTTTAGAACTGGATTTTTGTTGATCCTTTTTTTTGGGCAATTCGTACAATTTGTTTCTTTCTATTCTTCAATTATTAGCCTGATGATACTCTGATAATTGTGAACTTGATAAGATCAAGCCAGTTTGAATAGAACCTAGGATTAAATAAATCTGATCTTAAGAACTGTGTAAGTTCTGATTTTGTAAATTTCTGGCGTATTAAATCCTTAAAGAGTTTGGTTGCCAAAAACATTAATTTTAGTTGATGCTAAATCTTTGGAGCCTTAAACTCTTCAAATCCTGCTGTCGATATGATTGATTGAATTCAGGATTTAGAGATGGATGTCTAAATGTTTGTTTTAGTTTAAATTCCAATTGAATCACCACAGTAACTTTTTTTGACAGGACTAACTTTAAATCCTGCCTAACTCTCGGCTAAAGTTGCAGAGTAAGCAAACCCTTAAACCTTGGGCGAAACACCTTGAGCAACACAATTAAGGGATTAAAAACCCCCATCTTTTAATCCAGACAACTGTCTAGTTGTTATTTTATCTAATCTTTATGTAATCTCTAATCAGGCCATGATTTTGTAAATAACCCTTAATAAAATCAGATTAATCCCTTTATCAATCCAAATAAACACTAATATTCCTAATTAGTGCTATTAATTACTAATCAACTCAACTATTCCAGCAACACACTAATTAGTCTAATCACTATAAACATTAATTAATACATTTTAATGCCTAATTTGCTCATAGTTACTCCAATATTTATTAATACATAACAAGAAATCTGGTGAATCTAATAAAACAATAGTTAGCCTAACTTAAGCTGTATTGACATCATTAGTCAAACTAAACACTAATCACCTCTAAAACAACAATAATAAATCAAATCCTACCTTGTGGATGACAAATCCCTAATTACTCTAATAATTTGGAAGTCTCTAATTAAAAGCTAACATAGCATAGTTCCATTGATAAACTTAAAAATAAGAACTTAACTATGAAATGCTGCAGAACTAGCTGGTTACTTTTTACCCTAAGCCTGAATTTTATTAAACTCAAATCTTACAATCAACTTCTATTATTACTGTAAGATATTGGTTCTAGATTTAGGTTGTTTCTTGTATGGCTTGTATAGCCATTAGTGTAGCTTTTGGTGTTACTATTTTGAGTCTATAAAATAGGGGCTTTAGGTTGTAATAGAGTATGGTCAAGCAATAATATTTTCTGATTTGTTGCTCACCCTCTCCCCGTCCCTCTCTCCCTCCTCTCTCAAGATCAAGAAGAGGAAGTGCTTCTTCCTCTAGAGCAAGATCTCACAATTACATGTGTCTAAAGAGAAACTACGTACTGAACATCATTAGGAAAACCGTTATGATTTAAGAATTTTTTTTTAAAATATTAGAAATGACCTTTCTTTATTAGATTTAGATGAAAATTTGACTCTTAACACGACACAATGAAGAAAAATGATTAATGTAGCAAACCTCATAGTGGGATAAAGGCTTATTATTGTTGTTGTTGGGTGGTTTATGGGATTCGAGAACGAGTAGCGGGGATGAATAAGCTTTCATCTGCCAATGCGCTACACAGCTTGATCCCGATTTAAGAAAACCTTAAAGACCAGCATATTGATGTATCTATGAAATGATTATACTATCTATCAATATACATTTGTTAAAGTCCTTGATATTGTTTTAGATTCTCTATCTAAAACCATCCTGAAATGCACTTATTTTATTGAATTATATAGACCAATTGATCTGTCAAATAGTTTAAAGACAACAAAGAAATGTTGTTTTGAAGTTTTTTTTATATTTATGACCTCTACTGTCCTTATCATTGAACCAATTATTGGTACCCTTCTAGCAAAACAATCATCTAACATACTAATCATTGGATTGTGTTAGTGATTAATTCTTTTCTTTGATATATAATTCGCAGGTAGTTCTTGCTGCTCAGTTGATCTGCTGGATTGGGCAATTCATAGGCCATGGAGTATTCGAGGTAAGCTTAACACCTTTCAGGAGATATTAAGTCCTATTAACTGAGCTACCGTTAAACTCAATGTAAAATATCTGATTTGCATGATATTTTTCTGCAGAAACGAGCACCAGCTCTTCTTGACAACCTTTCTCAAGCATTTCTAATGGCCCCATTCTTTGTCTTGCTTGAGGTACTCTTTCCCATCTACCTTTTTTTTTCCCTCTTAATTTGTTGAGAATATTCTGATCCTAATTTGATTTGGCTGAATATATATATATATATATAATACTAATTTCATGATGAGCTTGAAACTCATTAAATTTATTTTGAGATTTGTGATGCATATATTATTTTTAAAATCAGACTGGACCGACTGGTTTGACCAATTCAAATGGGAACCGGTTGGCTAGTTGATCCGGACTATTTCCAAAACTTAGAGAAAACGATTTGAACCGATAGTTTGACCGGTGAATCAGCCTCAGTTTTTAAGAACCTATCGATTTTATTATTATCTCATTTACTTAATTATATAAATTGATTTAATAAAATTAATATAAAATATGAATTTTACAAAATTAATTTAAATTTAATATATATTTGTTTTATAATGATGTATAAATTTTTGTAATAATCATTTGATAAACAAGCTTCAACAAAAGTTTTTTCACATTGCCCCACCATTGCATATGACTTGCTTTCTTATACAACTAAAACACTATATAAATAATACTAAGACAAAATGCCTAACTGATCTGAGATTAAATAAATAAGGTGAAGTTAAAACACTATATATTTTTAATTAATTTTATATTATACAAATAATATAATTTATTTAATGTTGATTTTTCCCTTAATTTATATAATATAAAATTAATTTTTATTTTAATGATCTAAAATGAAATTTATAATATAATTTTAATAATGTGAATTTTATATATTATCTAACATGCCTAAATTATAACTAAATATATAAAATAAACTAATACTTCTTTATATTTAATTATAAAATTATATATTAAACTAATTATTTAAATGTAAATAAATTTAATTTATTTATAATGTCACTTAGAAATATCATTTAAATGATTTTAATATTTATTAACGCCATTCTCATTCAGTTTAACTCTGATCGAACCATTAAATCTCGAATCTCTTCTTTCGATTTTATCTTCCGTCTAATTTTCACAATCTTGTTGTATATTAAATTATTAAAAATTTGTATTGCATAATCTCAAATAAATCCAAATCTTTTAATTAGAACTAATAGAATATCTAACATTTTTTTTTTCTTTTAAACCTTAAATTTTTTTTTTAAAAAAAATAAATATAATCAAAATCATTGTAATTTCAAAGAATTTTCTTGAAGAGTTTCATGAACATTTCTGATCCACGGCAATTGAAAGCCTCCATCAGGATACGAACCATATCCAGGTTTTAAAGCAAAGCGTCATGCAAAGAATTGAAGCAGAATCGCAAAGATGGCAGAACAAGAAAGCAGAAAAAATCTTATTAAGCCTTCAGAGACTATCAATCGCTGCTTTCTTTCCTTAAAACTAGGTTAAGATTTTGTTGGGACAATGTTTTTTTTTATTGCTTCTTAAAGCAATTTCTTAGTATAAAAATTAAATTTTTGTATTAGGAAGGCTGTTTTAAGAAAAGCAAGAAAGAAAGCAGTCCAAACGAAGCCTAAAAACATCCTGTTTTTCGCTTATGCTGTTACAATAGGAATGCTTCACAGTTTTTAACTGTTAAACTGGAATGCTTTTGAATTTAATGTACTAAATAACTTATTTTGTATGGCATTGCCTGTTTGGATAAGGACAAGGAACTATTCATCGGAGGTGGTCTATATTTCTATTTTAATTACTTTTAATTTTTTTTTTAAAATTTTTAAGTCAGTCGTTTTTTTTTTTAATTTTAAATATAATTTTTTAAAACTGTCGTTACCAGGTCCAAGTACTAGGATAAGAAAAGTCAGGAGTTGATGTTAGTTAGTCCGACAACTAGCGTAAAATTTATCGAATAATCATGACATTAATTCTTTTTAAAAAATTGTGATAATTTAAGATGATATAATGGAGAAAAAAAAATTCCATGTAGCCGGACCTATGTAGTGGGACAAAGGTTTATTGTTGTTGTTTTTAAAAAGTAATTTTTCTAATTAAATTTTTGGGGGGAATATTGCAAAATTTTTCATAAAAAAACATAGTTTTAAGTTTTACTTTCCTAATCATGGAAATTGAAAAAACAACACACCCCAATATTCAAAACCTCAAACTGACAAAAATTAATAAATTTTATGAAAGAAATGATGAAAACATCCGTGAAAGACTAACTTTTAAAGTTAAAATGAATGCCACTAATTTACAAAAGTATATTGATTGAAAAAGCTATTCAAAATAAAAAAAATATAATTTTGAAAGGATTGAAGTTGTTTTTTTGGAGAACGAAGCTAAAGAGAATATATTGAATATATATATTTGACTTGAAGTGATATGAATGTAGTGTAAAGTGTAAAAATATTAGATGATTGGTGACCAATAGAACTGATGGCGTATGCAGTGGCTGGCATAAATAATGCTCGGTTGGGCGACAGAATACTTTTGTTCTGCGGTGAAAGAACGTTTTTGCTCATTGGATGGGTTATTTTTTCAATATGAAGTAGAAATTTTTGCATTATTTTTATATATATAATGAATATCAATTTTTTAAAAACTCGTAAGTACAAATTAATAATCTAGTTTTATTTGAAAAAATAACAGCCCCTAAGTGGGGAAATTATAATATAGAGAACACCGGATTATCACTGTTTACAAGTAAAATGCGCAAGTCAAAGCGCAACTACTATAGTAAACTGGTATTTTGACTGCGCTTTTACTGTAGACAGAAAAAGATTCGAATGTATCCTGCTCTATTTAGATGACCCGGACTAAATAATTTTGCCCCTAAGTGAGACAAATATGCAACCTTAAAATGGCAAGATGCTTGAATTTTTATAATCCTTGTATAAAATAGGGCAGAATGACGGGAACTACGAAGCAAAAGGCCGAAAGCTTTCATCTGTGGCCCATTTAATGAATTTTGTTCCAAGGGCTTTAGTTCCAAAATGAAAGAACTCTGAACTGGCAGATGGGCCACCATGTTTTCCACAGGATAGCAGCCTTACCTCGTCCCCCAACTACACTGGTCCAGATCCAGATATTGCTTCCCGAGAAATAAACCAACTTTCATAGTTTCATTTAAGGCTTTTTGGCTTATGAAAAATGAGAATAAAACAGTTTTAAATTTTAGATTTTGTTTGATGAAGAAGGAAATATAAATTAAAATTTGATAAAATTTCAAATTCATTTCTTATTTTATTTTTCATAATAATTCAAAAATTCATATGATTTTTATTGTTGAAACTTGACTATGGCAGCTTCGTCGCCTTCCACTCTATTTTTTTTTCAATGTTATTAAGTTTCATATTCTAGTTTTTCGTATTAAATTATTTATAACTTAGAATATGATCTTATGAATATCATAAATAGTCATTTGGTTATATAGCAGACACAACATCCCAACAAAAGGATTACAATAAAATCCTACAAAAGATAGTGGTGAAAACATCATCTTATTTGTATGAAAATCACATAAACAATGAAAAGTGAATGGTATAAAGAAGATTAAGAAAGAGAACAATTTGAAGATAATGCTAAAGAGCAATCTCCAACATTATTTATTTTAAAATCATAAGTACAAAATTTAAACCTTCACATCTCTTGCGCTTTGTCTCTCAGAAATCACAAGGTTTTCATTTGGGATACTTTTTTATTACTTTTTGTAAAACTACTGTAATAAATTAAAATTTTAAAATAGTTATTTATAAAAGCACTTTCTAGGACAAAAATTTAAAAAATATTGGCGAACAAGTAAGTGGCCAAAAATGAATTATTGGCCATGGTGGTGAAAAGTAAATTAGTAAAAAAAGTTTATCTGCAAAGTAAGTAAGTTGCTTCTTTGGAACGGACTTTCTTTATTACTTCTTAAACAGATTCTAGTACAAAAGTTTATAAATTTTTATACTAAAAACTGTTTTAAGAAGCAATAAGAAAGACGCCCCAAATGATGTCTAAGTAGCAGAATAATCATATAATAATGCAATAAAATCCAATTAAAAAATAGTTCCTAAGATCAAATAAATGAATGAGGGATTAATATAAAGCCTCCTAACTCAAATGTTTGCTAGAAGACATTCTATAATCTATTATCTTATTGGAAAGCCATAAGTAACATGGAAATGTTAAAAAAATAATAGCCATAAATCAAAATATTTTTGTATGCAATTTAATAGTCAATTTACAAAATGGAAGAACTCTAATAGTTTGTGAATTAAGCATATAAAATATCAAAGAATTTTAATGATCGAAAATCTTGAAGTGGAAAATTATGGGATTCAAATACAAAGGAAACTTTCATTATCCTCAACAATAGGAACCTCCAAACTATCTCAATAAGCTATGAAATATTATAGTGTATGAATTTAGTGAAGGTTTTTCTTTGGCGATGCTTGCTATGCTAGGGTTTTTCCCCCTGCTCCGGAATTTCACTGCAAGGATGGTTCCAGCCGCCATTTTTGCCTCGGGGAAGCTTCTCCTCTATAGTCTCCCTGTTTTTTGTGTGCTTTTTGGCTTTCATTTTTTGGCCTTAATGGGCATCTGCCCAGCTAATGTGACCGGGATTTTTGAATGGAGCTTCTTACGGCTTTTCGTTTAGGAGGTCTTGTCTGTGGCCTCTTCGTCTTCAGTACTTTTCATGATTTGTGTATTTCTCTCATCGGGGTTTGCGGCGTTGTTTGATTTCGGAGGAAGAAAATTTCTTCTCGCTTGCTGCGCCATTGGAATTTGCTTTGGTTGATCGATTTCCCATAAAGCGACCGTTTAATTGATGCATTCGAAAGTTTTCTCTCATATTTGAAACTCATTGGTGATTGTTTGATCACGGTTCTTAACCACTAGAACGTTTTGATTAAGCTGTGAACAATTTGATTACTATCGTATCTTCTCTCAATGCGATCTTATTTTGTTTGAATAATTGTTATATGAAAGTGGTGAAATTGTCCCCTAATTTAGTATGTTGAGGTTGATTCCTCGAATTATTCTCATATGCAGTTTCGTTTCCTATCTTAGGCCCATCTTTCTCTCCTCGAATCCTCTTGTAGGTTGGGTTCTCTCTTTGGCCGCCAACACTGAAAATCGAACGCAGCAACTGTTTCGGGTTCCCAACC